TTATCCATAAAGGCTTGGTGCCTACCTCTGATGATAATTTACTTTCAATGCAAAAGAATAGAATGAAAATTTTGAAAAGAAAATGTGTATCGGAATTAATAGCTAACTCAACGAAAGTATAGGTTTGTAGCCAAAACTGCTAATTTTACGTAAATGCCAAATTAAAATGAGAGGAAAGAGCCAAAGAGAAAGTGATACAATAGTATTGAGGCTGCTGTGGAGGATCTTGGAAAGCTATTAAAGAAATGGAGGTGACACAGGATATGAAATTAGGGGAAATGAAAAGGAAAAAAGTGATCCCGTGGAAAGATTTCATTAAATAACAAAGTAGAGAAATTCTGAAGAAAAATAAAAAAGGGGAAAATAATTGAGAAAACAAAGAAGCTGAAAGTATACTGAAGGTAGCACGAAGGAGGAAGGGAAATAACGTTACCAAGGAGATTGTAGGAAGAAAAGAGAGCAGAACGGCAACAAAGTTGTTGGTTGTAGAATTTCTGGTTGCAATTCTTATACCATGTCGTAGCTCAGTCGATTTAAGCAGCGTCTGGGATGCTCTCAGACGTAGGTTCAAATCCTCGTCACGGCCCTTGTGGATTTGTTCATTTAACAACAAAGTTGTTGGGCAATACACAATAAATTCCTGTGCAGGAGTAGAGAAGATAATTAAATAAAAAAATGTTGGTTTCTCATTGTTGTGGACAGGGAGCCCATTAGGCTTGTACAGATACCCTTAGACAATGATTGATCTGTCCCAGCATGCAACTCTCACAGCAGTTGACTAACTCCCAGAGCAAAGATTTATTATACAGTTACTCGACCACTTACGAACCTGTACATCCTTTCTCAACCTTTTGTGGCATTGTTTACATTTATTAAAGAGTTTATGAGCTCTGAAGCATTGGGAGGTTGTTTATAACAATAACAACATTTAATTGGGAAGTTTTGATGCTCATAAACTGCATAGTAAATGTAAATAAAGCTGCCAAAGACTGTGGAAAGATGTACAGGTTTATAAGTACAGTAGATGTGTAAATGCTTGATGAATCCTGGTCCCCAGGTATCAATTTGCTTCAGGCGAAGAATGAAGTGTAAGGAAACATGCCTAACCTCTTGCTTTGCCGGGAATTTAATCCTGGCCCTGGTTTCAAACCGACTACACTTCTGGTTATAAAGACCAAATAGGTAGTACAATGCACCAGACAGGAGACAAAAGCCCATTCACAAGTTGCCAAAGCCAACTAGACAACCATTATCAAATAGACTGGATAGAGATAGCTGGTATCTTACACTGTGTGTGTGGTGACCAGTGACATACTCATTATGAACCAGACCTTGTGTGGCCTTGATGCTGATAGGTGGTACTGTATTTGAGTGAGAAGAGGCTAAGTTACAAGGAAGTATACTAGTCAAGACATGTTGAAAGTAGACAAGGGGGGAAGCCAGCCAAGAGGGTTGAGAAGAAAGAGGACAAAAGAGCAATGGGTTGGAACCAGGACATTCTAGTGCCCCACCCTTCCCCAAACAGCACCATAAAATGCATAAAGAAAAATGTACTCTTAAATCAATTCTTGTTGGCAATAGAAAGAAAAATGTAAACATACAGTGGGAGAATTAATTAAAACATTTATAATAAATTTCTTTCTGGGAGCTGGTGAGTTTGTTTTTCACGGCTAGCAGCATAATTTTTACAAATACTGTACCTGTATTCATGTTTTAAAAATATTTTGCAATAAAAAGCTGTTGAATGAACACATTACAGTATACAGTACATAATAAATTTTTTTTCAGCATTACACCAAGCTTCATAGAAAAGCACTATTTTATTTAACCCTTTGAGGACTGAATTGAATATACTGTTACAGTACAGTACTTAGTTAACCTCTCTGGACTCGGCATGCAAGATATACAGTACTTAATTTTAAAAAATAATGTGTGTGTGTATAAAATAAATATATATATATACTGTATAATATATTTTATGTGTGTAAATCACGAAAAATAAACACGTGATTAAAAATGTGAGTGTCAGACCATGGAGGAAAATTGAAACAGGAATTTCCTTAAGTACTTTCATATATTAATACATCTTCAGGAGTCTGAAGGAGTCTTAATACATCTTCAGACTCCTTCTGAAGATGTATTAATATATGAAAGTACTTAAGGAAATTCCTGTTTCAATTTTCCTCCGTGGTCTGACACTGTCATATATATATTATATAATATATATATATGAATGAGACAGACTTGCATAAAATAATGTGCAAAACAAAAAGTAAAGTATTTTCTAACCCCAAATATTTACATTCTAAAATGTGCAAGTTTTGCAATGGTGCTGGACCCTGACATCTGCTAGGTAATTTTAGATTGTATTTCAACTAAAGTGGGAAGACCCTCACAAAGACTTAGGGCCATGTGTGTTATTACTAAAAGTTATTAGAGTACTATAATAAAATTGTAACACTGCATTTAATGCTAATGAATGGGTGGATTTACCAAATTAGCCTTCTATACTATAATTATAGTGGAGGCTAGCTTGTGTCGGGCAAATGCTAGAGTAATCTCAAGGATACAAGATAAGCCTTAATTTTGTTATATTTATGTAGAATGTAATTTGCAAATTTTAAGTTTTTGTTTTGTCTTTATAATACAGTTTAATATATATATATATTTGTCCCAGTAAATATTAATAATAATGTGGTTGTGCATGGACTACCTTGCAAATTATTTTAATTGCATGAAAATATACAGTATATTGGTGTTGATGTGAAATATTTACTGTGGTCAATAAAGCCACGTATCAGGTAAGTAAAAGTGTTTATATATGCAGCAACTGTGTGTGCTTGGTACAAATCAATTTGTGATACTTCAAAATATTTAAATTTACTGTTGATCAGATTATATAATGACAAAATTTATATTCCTAAAAGTATTGAATGTTTTGTACTGTATACTGTACATATTTGGTTCTTGTTCCTATGCATGAGGATATTAAAACTTCACATATTTATGTATACCATTGTATACAATTTTTTCTGAGTAAATGCTAGTCCAAGAAATGGAATACAACAATTTTTACATGACAAAAATAATAGTTTTATTAAATTTGTCTGAATTATACCAAAAGGTACAGTGTATGTATCTTTCTGTATAAAATAAAATGTGTGTGTGTGTGTGTGTTCGAAGTTGGAGCTTAAGCCTTGCCTAACTTAGACACAGGAAGGATGTGGGGGTAGGTGAGTGTCTTTGGTGGGCAGGGTCAGCCCAAGTAAAATACTATACTGTACCTTAAGAAATATTGGCATTGCAGACAATGAGTCACAGTAATGTGGCTCAAGATATGATAACCAAACCACACATCAGAAAAGGAAGAAACGACAATGTTTCGCCCCATCATAGACCATTATCAAGTCATGTGATTGGCATGTATGGAAATAATGGCATTATGGAGTCCCAATCCCCATGCAGTTTTTATGGAGGGAAGTCTGAAATATTGGTTGTGTTTTCCATAGTTTAGCATTTTCAGTGCTTTATAATAACAAGTTTTCTGAAAGAAGGGGAAGACAAAGAGGAAGATAAGGGGAGGATAGAGTGAATAAGGGAAAAGGATGGGAAGAGGAAGGAATAGACCCGTGTGTAACCAAGTTGGCTATAGACTTGTGTAATGGCTTCATTCCTTCATTACGTATATAATTTTTCTGAGTGGGGGGAGGGGGGGGATGTTTGAAGAGGGGACGAGATGGGGAAAGAAAGATGAAGAGGGGAAGAGGTTGTTGGTGAAGAAAGGTGGAGTGAGGGGGGAGAGGGAGTAAGGAAAGATAGACCCGTGCACAGCCTGGTACCCTTCCTAGTGTTATACACCATATTCTGTTCATATCAAAATTTACAATTTTTTCCAGAGGAAACTAATAAAAGAAAACTTTCATTATAAGGCAAAATAAATCTTACCTACTATGCCTTGTAATACGATTCTGGCTATTAGCTACGACAAGAGTATTATGTAAATACAGTAGAAATTCAATATCCAATGTGAAAATATATTTTGTGCCTCAAAGTATACTATATACAATACCCGTATTCTTGTGTTCTCAAAGCCAGCGCCTATACACTTCCCCAACCTCAATTCAAAATACAGTAGGTATGTTTGTAATTATTATAATTATACTTCAACAGATCTTAGATGATCAGAGCATTAAGGCAAATAAATGATAGGACATAATTTTGAGTAACTATGTTTAGTATACTGTAGTACAATAAGTTTAATTTAGGACAAGATAAACAAATTTAATAATTGTATTTGAATTATTAGTATTTCTTCACTGGTGTGTATTTATCTCTGAAGTACAAGTTGTATGTCCATTCCTTTAATATTAGAATGTAAAAGGAATTTTGTGAGCTGGTACATTTTATATTTTTTCAAACGATACAAGTTTTTTGGTGTTAGAAGTCATTTTGTTTCTGTTCTGTTTTAATGGACAATATTCTTCATGTTGGTACTGAATTGTTATTATAGTTCCTGAATAAAAATAGAGCTGATTTTCTTTGTAGTTTTATGGTAACCACTATTAGTTAAGGTTTTTATACAAAAAAAAATTTTCAAAATTAATATTCTGTATTTGATGCTCTACATGGCCAAGATTAGCCTCCTGAATTTAACAATTTGTATGTTGCATAAATTTCCCTTTCCCCACGGAAGTGTGTATTTCTAAGAGTTACACATTGGCGTTTGATACTCTACTACTCGGTCAAGTGTCAGGTATCCACAGTAGGAATGTTTTATGATTTGTGTTGGTGTCATATCTGGAGAATGCTCCCTGTATCACCATGGAAACTTACAACCCCAAGGAGGAGAGGCTTATGAAGCTTCTCTTCTCTCACTCAAATGAACTCAAAAACCGTAAAAATGCATTAAACAATCAAAATACACTCAAAACAATTAAAAAAATTGGAACAATATTAATCTAAACCACATAATCTTTAAAAGGTTCAGTGTAACTCGCAGAGAGAGGAACAACTTTATTAAGCTCAAGCTACAATGTAGGATAGAAGACAAGACACGCCTTTTAATCCATAGTAACAAACCCATGGAATCACCTATCTGCTAAAACTGCAAGTACCCTAGTAGTCAAAATTCATCTGGGGAAAAAAATCAGAAATATAGGAGGGGGAAGTTCCTTTTACAAGCTGCTGGCATTCCAGACAAGATCATTAATGATAGTGGCCCTCAGGTAAATTCAGGCAAATAAGTGATTAATGTACTGTGTGTACACTGTATATGTATGTATGTGTATATATATATATATATATATATATATATATATATATATATATATATATATATATATATATATATATATATACACACACATATACACACACACACCTTGTGCTATTATAAGGGGGATGGGGGGGTTCCCAGCCATTTAATGACCACAAAATTTCCCCCCAAAGTTTCACTACTGGCCGTTCATGGTGTTTGCATCCACCGCCTGAGCATCACATTATGGAAAGTAAACAGGAGCTGCCATTGAATATCTTGTTAATTATTAACAATCTTGGGTACACTGCAGTTTGCGGCTATGCGAACAAGCTCGGTGTTGAATCTAAAAACAATATCATATCAGTTTTATATACCATTTTCTGGAAGTAAACACTTTAATACCACAGGTAATTTTAATAGCAGAGTATGTTATATGCCACAGTATATAATTGCTGTATAGTATAACGCTCTCCTGGTAGTGTAGCCTTAATTCCTTTTCGTGAAGGGTATAACAGCCAATCTGATAATTAAGTAGGCTACATAGGTTTTGTATATTATAGTAATTCTGAATAAAGTTGTGTTTTTTATTGAAGTTTTAGACATTAAAGAAACAATATCTAAAAATATACATTAGCTAAAAAGCCTCTTTCATACTTGTCCCATGATCCATCCACTTGGGCTGGATGGATCATGGATAGAGCGACGGTCTCGCTTCATGCAGGTCGGCGTTCAATCCCCGACCGTCCAACAAGGGCTAGATTCACGAAGTTACGCAAACAATTACGAGCCTGTCTATCTTTTCTCAATCTTTGGCGACTTTATTTACAATTATTAAACAGTTAATGAGCTCCGAAGCACAAGGAGGCTGTTTATAACAATAACAACAGTTGATTGGCAAGTTTTCATGCTCGTAAATTGTTTAATAAATGTAATCAAAGGCGTCAAAGATTGAGAAAAGATGTACACATTCGTAAGTACTTGCTTAACTGTTTCGTGAAGCTGGCCCCATTGGTCACCTTTCCTTCCCCCCGTCCCATCCCTAATCCTTATCCTGACTCCTTCTAAGTGCCATATAGTCATAATGGCTTGGTACTTTCTCCTGATAATTCCCTCCCTCCCATGAGAAGTCACATAGCTGACGTCTCACAAGTGGTTGTGTAGATGTGCCTTAAGTGATCGTGGTAGACGTCTTATAAAGGCTAAGCCTCGCTGCTGACTTCCTCTTCCTTATCCTCCTCGTCCTCTTCTACTTTTATGGGGTCAGGGTTGTTAGAGCGGCTAACCCTGACGTCGGGGATCTTGTAGAGGTCCTCGTTGATGTTGTAGTTGTCAGGAGAGCCAGAGCAGTCCACTTTGAACCACCAGTCGCATACCCTGCATCCAACACCCAAGTTAATTAAGCTCACCTTTGTTATTTATGAACGAATTTAAGATTACATTGCAACTGACATTCTCGTACGTGTAAACAACATGATCTTATCACAATGCAGATCACTAAGGAACTACAGACTTGGCATTTAACCTATAAAAAAGTTCCTCACATTATTTCTGTTGGATCAGATCATATCAACCTCTTTTCTGTTTATATAATTGTATATAAATAAATAGTTTAACAAGCTATGTCGGACTGTTAGAAAAGTAATTTTTTTTATCGTTATATACTATTGCAATTTCCATTTTATTACAAATAGCCTTCAAGGAATTTTGGGCATGTATTATCCTTTAATCTATATATAAAATAGTAACAGGTGCTTTGTATGAAGACTTAACATGGTAAGGTGGTTGTATATACTATACCATACAGTATACATTATACCATATAGTATATACTATATTATATAGTATATACTATACCATATAGTATATACTATACCATACAGTATATACTATACCATATAGCATACTATATGGTAGATATGCTAATATCCGAAAGAGAAAGCATTATAATTGATCATCTCCCTGGCACCTGAGTGATCAATGGAGCAAGAAGACTAATTATTAATTATTCCCCCCCCCCATACCTGCACGTGTGATTGGAGAGCTAGAAGCGCTCTGCTCAAAACGTTATGCCTGCTAGTGACTTTTCAAGAATGTAAAAACAAAAAAAGTCAAGTCTCTGTACTCTCATGAACCCAATGTAACTTCTTGCATATAAATAAATAAATAAAACGAAAACAGCCTGGAGGGAGATGGTAACCAAAGCTCCCGGTAGAGTGCGACCTGACTGAGGAATAGGAAGTAATAGCTAAGGTGCTAGCTGATAGTTAAAGACATTCCTCCTGGTACCTTGAGGGTCCCCCAAGTGGGGAGATCAATACCAGTGAGCAGGAAATTACCTGTGGAGTTGGTTGAAGAGCGTCTGGTTGGGGCAGAGGAAGGAGTACTTTTGTCCGCCTGGCACACACCAGTGCCACACCTGCGGGAGGAGGGGGGGGGGTTAAGGCTATAACATATACATACTAGAGAAAACAAGACTGATCACAGGTTGACGAAAGTAACTGAACTCGGCGTCACGTGACCGGTGACACAATGATGGTATATTATCTCTAGTATGAATATCCTCTTAAGATCAAATGTGAATTCATCTTTGATACCTATACTAAGTCATACAAGTCTTCTCAAATATATAAAGTGGAAAAACCATTAAGGTTAAAAAAATTCAGAATTTGTATGTCTATATGAAAATATACTTTATGCTGTGTGGTTACAGGAGAATTAGCCACATAAATTACACTATATTTAAGCTACATTTACATCTGTTAAATATAGAAACAAATATTAATTAGTATATGTAATATTTAAACATATTTAAATAGTATAAAATGATGACAGAACTATAAATTCCTTCATGAGTATTCTAGTACACTGCGCTCTCTTGTATTCATACTCAGCGCATGCCACGTGGCCCCTGACACTTACTGGGTGACCCTGACACTCACCAGGCGACCCTGTTTCTCATCGGGTGACCCTGTAACTCACCGGGTGACCCTGTCACTCACCGGGTGACCCCTGTCACTCACCAGATGACCCTGTCACTCACCGGGTGACCCTGTCACTCACCAGATGACCCTGTCACTCACCTGACACTGAGCCTCGGGGTCAGCGTAGTATCCAGGGATCTTGTCGGTGCAGGAGAATGTAAGGCCGGGCGGCACCTCGGAGTAGGTGGGGTAGTCCACCCCAGCGGCTCCCTGCACCTGCCGGCGCTCCTGTGGGGGGAGAGGCGTGTGTTGGGGGTGTTACTTGGTCCCTGGGGTTGCCTCTGGTGGTACTTGGATGGAGGGGAATAGTGTGGAGGTGATGCACTTGTGGTGGTAGTTAGATGGAAGGGGGATAATGTATTGTAGGTGATAGTAAGTAATTATCATTAGAAGGCACCAAGCCGGGAAGCCTATGTAGCACCATCAAATGTGCGGAATAATCAGAGGGCGCTAAATATTACTAAGGATAGGTGATAGTCTGTAGGGATGGTTGGATAGAGGAAGGGTGGGGGGTGGGGTGATGGAATGGTAGTTTTCGATTAAAGATCGATTGCTTGATTTGCACCAAACATTTATGTACGTATATCTTTAATTAAAGTATAAATACGCTGACATTAATTTATAAATAACAGGTTTTTTGTTTACTTCTTTAACTATTAAATTATATATTTTTTTATATCCTCAGTCAAATTAAATCTGTGCAAACACAACCTTGCAAATAAAAGGACCCAGTCTGCGGAACTCACTCCCTGACGAATTAAAAAATTGCCCAGCCTATGCCACATTCAAAATTAAAACCAAAAAGTACATAATTTCACCCTCATAGTTTCCTACCTTGTACAGTACTTCAAACTCACACTGTATCTTGTATTACCCACTTCCCCAATATTAGTACGTAAGACATATATCTTTACCAGTGTAATCACCTCTTGTCAATTTACATTGTAGTTATGTTTATATAAAACCTTGATACAATGTATTTATTTATTTACATACAAGAAGGTACATTCGGTTTGTGAGAGTGCATAGTATTGTGTTTACATTCTTGTAAAACCACTAGTACGCACAGCGTTTCGGGCAGATGTACCTCTTCATCTTATCTGATATGTTAGATTAAGGACCTGCCCGAAACGCTGTGCATGTTAGTGGCTTTGCAAGAATGTACAAATACTAATACTATGTAATCTCACCAACCCATTGTACCTTCTTGTGAATATATTATTATTCTTAAAGAAAGCTTCACTGAATATATAAAAAAAATGAAGCACTAGAGTGCCTCATATGTTGTTATTTAAGTTTACTTGTTTTAAAGGTAACATATTTTCTACAATACTTAAATTATAAATTTCGTTTCCAAAACTGCATCAGTATTGTTCTTTACAATTGTTTATTACATGAACTTCCCGTTTTCTGTGCCACACCTTCAGCGGCGGGAAAGTGAAAGTCCACAACCGTCCTCACGACTTTTGGCGGGAAGTGACTTTAATGAGCGAACAACTTACTTCTTCAATTATAATGTTCGTCGTGGCGCCCTCCAAACCATGTGTCGTCATCCCCCATATATCAACATACTCGGTGAGTTATTGTACCGGTTTATTTGCCTTAAATCCGTATTGTGAGATTTCCTTTACGCAGATATAGCTATTATCATTATTATTGCTTATTATACAGTTGCTTAATTTCGAAACTGTACTTGTGGTCGATCTCGAACCCATTTATGATGTGGCGACTTATACAGAATTTTGTAACTAGCTCATCAAGATTGTAACTTGCTCAGCTAAATGAATTGTGGGGTTCAGACCGAGCCCATTGTGCCTCTGTAACCCTTTCCACTACCGCTCACAAGATGGGTATGGGGTGCATAATAAACGAACTAAACTAACACTGCTTATTATAATGATAAGCAATACGTACTCTAAAAGAAACGTACGTGTAACGTACGTTTTTTAGAGTACGTACTTAATTTTTACGCCTCATTTCGGCGGGCTCCCAAGACCCCGGACTTTAGGCATGAGCCTACGGAGCTTAAAGGATTATAATTATAATCCCTAGGAGGCTGGAGAGGATTGGGGGGGAGGGATATTGGCGATGCAACATCAAGATAATGAGAAGAGGAGGTTTCAGATATTAACCAATACTAACGGCATTCATAACGAGCATAGTTACAACAATACTAATCACAATCAGAATCCTGCATCTGCTAACGAAGGTGACACGTGTCGAGACGAGCGTCCTGTGAGAGTGAAGATCACCGCGGGGATAACATGGCAACTGTTATCGAGAAAGGGTAAGTGTTGTAAGCGTGATGGGAGAGGTCACCGGGCCATGGCAGGTTCAAGGCGAGGTTATTACTATAATGTTCGATTGTCTGAGAGATAACTACTTGTGGTACCTTGAAATCCCTCACACTTAATCCACGCAGACGCTTGTTCAATTGTTAGACAGTACACACACACACACACACACACACACACACACACACACACACACACACACACACACACACACACACACACACACACACACACACATAAACACACACACACCAAAGTATTTTGAAAGTACACAAGTGTACTTTCAAAGCGTTATGCGACAAAGAGTGCTGGGAAGACGGGACACCACGAGCGTAGCTCTACGCTCGCTGGAGCGTAGCATCCTGTTACTACACTTAGGTAATTGCACTTAGGTAATTACACACACACACACACACACTTTTTTTGCTGGGAAGACGGGACACCACGAGCTTAGCTCTCATCCTGTAACTACGCCTAAGTAATTACACTTAGGTAATTACACAACTCAAGCATGCAATAAAACTTAAACAAATATTTTTACCAGCAAGCTTGACCTCGAGACAAAAAAACCTTGGATATCAGGTCATACAACGAAATCTCACTAAACTGGCGCAGCGAAAACACATAAGGGATATGATCCCAACATACAAGATAGCGGAAATGACAACGATGGTAGGGACGAGTTATCTGATAGTTCTGACACCATGACGAGGAAGCAAAAGTTAAGGCGACTCCGTAAAGGATAACGTCAGAGGAGCCCCCTGGCGGAAGAAGCAGCGGAGGAAAACTTTATGCAGGAGAAACTACGATAATACATGACCCTCACCCCCCAAAAGCGGAGATTCTTTACACAGGAATGATAGTGAAAGGCGGGGACCCAGGAGCTAGAGCAGACTCCCAGCACAGTAAAAGGAGGAGAGGTTTGAGTGAGTACACACACACACACACACCAGGAGTCAAGGGTCATGCCGCGTAGTACACACTTCCTCGCGGGTCTTCTCCGGATGGCGCCCATTTTCCTCCCACCGGGCTAACACGCCCCTCTCCTACCCCCAAGGAAAAAACAAATAATAATCAGCTTCCAGGCCATTCAGTTCGTAACTCTTGTTGATATTCGCCAGTCTCATCCTTTCATTTCGTAATTCGTGTTAATTTACGTCATCCTCCTCCGTTCGAATCCTAACTCGTGTTAACCTACGCCATCTTCCTCCGTTCAAATCGTAACTCGTGTTAATTTACGACATCCTAGTTACAGTTTAAGTGAGCGAGCGAGTTACGGTTTAAGTGACAATAGGAACTCTTAGGGGATAATAATACATTCCTTCCTCGACCTCCCTCCCTTACCCTTCTCTCTTCCCCTCTTAGTGGTAATGTGTGTTTCGGGAGGCATCACACAGCGCTGACTCCTGCTCTAAGAGGACATTAGCTGGGAATGGAAGTTGGCAGTGCTGACGAGGTACCAGCGAGGTACTGGTCCTCCTGGTGAGGTCCTGTTCCCCCTGGTGAGGTACTGATATTCAAACGAGGTACTGATATCCTGGCCAGGTATTGGTATTCTAGTGAGACACTGATATCCTGGTATAACCAGGTTAATGTAATAATAGTACAGGTTACCTGTGTACTGGTAACTTGTCGAAGTACTTGGGAGGCACTGGCATCTTTGTAAGGATATATTAATTGGCGGGGACAAGTACCCTGTCAAACTTTAAGTGGTCCCCCCCTTTCAAGGGTGATGCTATCCGCCCTGTCACCCATCCAGTTACTGGTTAGACCCGAAAAGGTTTTGACTTAAGTAGTATATCTTTGTACCATACTGGCATTCTGGGGATAGAACTTTTGACATTTTAGAGAGATAGTGGTGAAGCCGTCAAGGGTGTTATAAGTTATAGCACACTAATATCAGCACCCGCCCGCCGCCCTCCTCCTTCCCCTGCATACTTGACACCACTTTCCTAAATTGGTTTGTGTTCACGAACTTAATTCCAGGTGGCGTTAAAGCGTGGGACCTGCCGCTGAACGAGACGTTTCTGAGGTAAACAAAAAGACTTATTATATATCCGGGTTACACAACACCGTTCTCGCGGCCTGCTGATTGGATGACTCTCGCCGTTTTGGGACCCACTGATTGGTCGAGCGTAACACACTCTTCGCTGGTTGCTAGTGTCACATATAATGGGGTAATTGATTAGCCTAGTGTCACCTATCGAGGCTTCTGGTTTGGCGAGCTTTACACTTATCTGGTCTAGCCACGTGACTGGGTGCCAAAGTAATATAACCAACCCATCGATTGGTAAGCGTTAAACTCGCTGGGCTTCGCAGATTGTGCTGCATTCTGGGGGGGGGGGCGGGGGGCTGAAGATTGGTCAAATTGTACACCATCTGAATCTGCCGACTGGGGAAATTATACACCTCGTGAAGGCTCGCTGGTTGACCAAATAGTAGCCTACAATCCTCCGTCTTTCGTGTTTACTGTCAACACTCTTTGTACAGATTGTCGCAAGCAACAAGTGCATTAGGTAACCACTGTTGCTACATAGGCCTACTAATTAACGCAGGAAAAATAATGTTCATTAAGATAATTAATATTTGAGGGAATTAATAAGGTTGTATAGAAAGAGAGAAAACGGAAATTTTTTAAAGTAATGCTAAATTTTAGGAGTTAAATTGGAAATAAAAAATTAGCCAAGTAAGCATTAGGAGGAATAAGCAAGAAAGTTGAAGAAACGAGAGGAAGAAGTGATAGAAAAGAGGAAGCAATAATGATAACTCACCCTGGCGGAGGCGATGACGAAGGTGGAGGCGGCCATGGCCACCAGCAGCGACCCCACAGACGACACGCGGGACACCATCCTGGGAGGGGTAATGACGGCTCAGGTTAGGAGCCGGGAAGACTCAGTGTTAAAGTAAGGTCAGCTCAGGGAAGGAGCACGGGCAATATACTACTGTATTATGTCATAAATCACACCGGCGCCAGCCAGGAGGAGCACTGGTGCCAGACAGTGGTACCGGCGCCAGCCAGGAGGAGCACTGGTGCCAGACAGTGGTACCGGCGCCAGATGAGCACTTGCGCCAGCCAAACGGAGCCCTGGCGCTAGGCGGGATGAGGAGCAATGCCTCAGCAGACGTAGTCTTAGCGAGTGTCTAAAGCCTCGCGTTACTTCTACGAGACCAGGAAGAGGACGTTTGTTTAGTGTAGGTAGAAGTAAGACAAGTATATAGTTTATCACACAAGACTTGCACCCATGGATGTGCTTGGCATATGCGGATATGTGCGAGGATGTCTAGAGGTAAGCGAGTGTGTGCGTGAATGTCTGTATGTACTCACCTAGTTGTGCTTGCGGGGGTTGTGCTTTGGCTCTTTGGTCCCGCCTCTCAACTGTCAATCAAATGGTGTACAGATTCTTGAGCCTATTGGGCTCTATCAAATATACATTTGAAACCGTGTATGGAGTCTACCTCTACCACATCACTGCTTAATGCATTCCATTTGTTAACTACTCTGACGCTGAACAAAATTATTTCTGTCTCTGTGGCTCATCTGGGTACTAAGTTTCCACCTGTGCCCCCTTGTTCGTGTTTCATCCGTGCTATATAATTTGTCTTTGTCCACTCTGTCAATTCCGCTGGGTATTTTGTAGGTGGGTATCATGTCTCCCTTACTCTTCTGTTTTCAAGGGACGTGAGGCTTAGCTTCCTTAGCCATTCCTCGTAGCTCATACCTCTCATTTCTGGGACTAGTCTGGTGGCATACCGCCGAACCATCTCTAACTTTTTCTTGTGTTTAACTAGGTATGAACTCCAGGCTGGAGCTGCATATTCCAGAATTGGTCTGACATAAGTGGTATACAAGGACCTGAACGATTCCTAACACAAGTTTCTAAAGGCAGTTCTAATGTTGGCCAACCTAGCATGTCCCGCTGATGATATATATCCTTTTGATGTGGGCTTCTGGGGACAGGTTTGGTGTGATATCAACCCCTAGAGCTTTCTCTGTTTGAATCTTGCAGGATTTCACCTCCCAGATGGTAACTTGTGTTCAGCCTTCTGCTCCCTTCGTCTAATTTCATTACTTTACACTTTCCTCAGTTGAACTTTAGTAGCCATTTTCTAGACCATTCCTCCAGTTTGTCCAGGTCATCCTGTAGTCTCTGTCTATCTTCATCTGTCTTGGTTCTTCTCATAATATTTGCATTCTCAGCAAACATTGTACGCGAGTGTGTGTATGGGTATTGTATGTACGCGAGTGTGCGTGTATTGTATGTACGCGAGTGTGCGTGTATTGTATGTACGCGAGTGTGCGTGTATGTGGGTATTGTATGTACACAAGTGTGTGTGTGTGGGTATTGTATGTACGCTAGTGTGCGTGTGTGTGGGTATTATATGTACGCAAGTGTGTACGAGAATGTAGGTTGACCAGACCACACACTAGAAATTGAAGGGACGACGACGTTTCGGTCCGTCCTGGACCATTCTCAAGTCGATTGTGTCATTACTTCAGCCACGTTATTGTGACTCATCGCCTGCATACGAGAATGTATGTGTGTACGCAGTGGGTGTTTATGAAGCGAAAGAGGAGATTTCCACACAGGACAGAAAAGAATGCAAGTAAAAAACGAGGAGCTAGAGTGAAAGTGGAAGAGTGAAGAATGGGAAGAGCAGACAGTGTGGGAACAAGCACAGGCTGGAGATAGGCGAGCGAGAGCAACATTAATACCTGAATCTGAGAGGGGGGGGGTAGAAATAGCCTAACTTACTCTATCCCTTTGAGATGTATTTCTTTCTTGTCTCAATAAACATACTTGAACTTCAATACCTGAATACGTGGGGCACATCAGGAGAGACACAGCCACTCACAATATTCGGTAATATGTTTATTGTTTGTGATATCTGTCTGTCTCTAACTCTTCGTGTGTCTTTATACCTCAATAAACTCATTGCAATTTCACACATAAGGATTCTAGCTGTCTACATGATACCTCAGAAATAGAAAATATCACAACAGGTCAATTACAATAAGTTGTCCTATTGTCACTGAGCAAGGTGAGACACTGTGAACAAGGTGAGACACTGTGAACAAGGTGAGACACTGTGAACAAGGTGAGACACTGTGAACAAGGTGAGACACTGTGAACAAGGTGAGACACTGTGAACAAGGTGAGACACTCTGAACAAGGTGAGAGACTCGACAAGTTGAGAGACGTCCTTTAACAAGCGCCAGTATAAAACAATTCACTTAAAAATTCACTAATCAATTCTTTGACCTACAATTGAATGAAAAGTGGAAAAGAGGGTAGTTATTGCCATGGGTGTACAGCCTGGGAGTCAGCACCATGGGGGGGGGGGGAGTAAGAGACATATAGGTACAAAGCTGATAATGGGGGCTGGGGAGTGGGAGGGAAGGAAGAGGGGGAGCGTGAGTTACCTGAGCGATGTACAGAATGACGAACACAGAGGAGTACTGCCCCCAGTCACTTTCCATGCTGGCTTATATAGAAACGCGTCGCCCCCTCCCTCCCTCATCTTCACCTCCCCCCCCCCACCACCACCACCCGAGAGCCCTTCCTTACCCCACCTTGGGTTATATGGGATATCCCCCTCACTCACTGACTTCTTGCTTGACATCACCATCGCTGGTCAGAATATGACGTACCCACTATATACACATACACACTATGACGGGGTCTTGGCTGCCATGGAAGACAAGCTAAACGCTGATATAATATACACTCAGTTTTCACGAAAGCCTTCGACAAGTATTCACCTAGTTGTGCTTACGGGGGTTAAGTTCTGCTCTGTCGGCCCGCCTCTCAACTGTCAATCAATCAACTCTTACTAACTACTAACTATTTTTTCCACCCCCCCACCTCCCAGGAAGGAGCCCGTAACAGCTGTCTAACTCCCAGGTACCTATTTACTGCTAGGTAACAGGGGCATCAGGATGAAAGAAACTCTGCTTATTGTTTCCCGTCGGCACCGGGAATCGAACCCTGGACCACAGGATTACGTGCCCGGCGTGCTGTCCACTCAGCCACCGGCACAAGTGTGGCGATGGTATTTATTGTCTACAGAAGGAATTACTGGTAAAGTAGGAAGAACACACATCTATTAATTTCCTATCGAACACAACTCAAGAGTTTAATAGTCAACAAAGTAAAAACTGGATTATTCATTGTGAAAAAAGGATGAAAAAGGGCACTGGAGCAAGCACAGTACCCCTGGGGTACTGTGCTTGCTCTAGTACCTTTTCTCATCCTCATATCGGACATAGATGAGGATACAAACTATAGCACTGTATCATCCGTTGCAGATGACACTAGGATTTTTATGGGAGTAGACAATATATAGGACACATCAAACCTCCAATCTGATTTAAATCCTGTCGTTCAATGGGCCACAGAAAATTAAATGGTGTTTAATAATCCAGCTCCTGCTCTATGGGAAAAAACGAAAATATAAAAACGGGAACCATATATAAAACCCCGTCAAACCACATTATAGAACGAAAAAGGAACATAAAAGATCTGGGAGTAATTATGTTGGAAGACCTTACTTTTAAAGAACTCAATAAAGTAGCTGTCACAACCGTGCTTTAGCCTAAAGTTTAGACTTCTTGACTTATGTATGATCCTGTGTACTGTGTGACGGTGAATACCAGCATCGTCCTCACTCTAATAAGACCTAATTGAACTACTCACATTAAGCAAAATTGTAATTACTTTTGTCAATAAAGATGTTAAAATTAATAATGTCACAACTGCAAGAAAAATAACTGCTTGGATAACAAGAATCTTTCAAACAAGAGATGCCATGTGCAGGCGATGAGTCACAGTAACGTGACCAATGATGATACTTTTCAGGAACAGATATATAATAATTGACAATTGGAAAATATTAGAGGGACTGGTTCCAATTTTACACGCCAAAATATCATATGAGACCAGAAGGCATTGCGGGAAGTGCAAAATAGCCCCGTTGAAAAGCAGAGGTGCAAAAGGTTGCTGAAAGATCAACATTCAGGGCTAAAGACTTCAATACTCCCGCTACACATAAGGAACATAAATGGCCGACCTCTCACGCTGTTCATAAGTGAACTTGATCGACTATAGGCTGTGAGCATTAACAACTATATTTTAAATAGACGCATATCACAAACAATAAGCATATAACTTTACATTCTGAGTGATAACATATACATTTTTTCCTTTATACATGAAGTATGTTACCAGACGTATACAATAATACTTTTTTATTACTAGATAACAATTAACAAGAGACATTCAGACAATTCAACAAAGATACAATCTTAGTGCAAAATTCTTACATCTCTCCAGAATATCATCAATAATCAATCTTTCCGTTGTGACATATTTGTTCAGGAACAGTCCTTATCTCTGTTTCTGTATACATTAATCAACGGACAATCAAGAACATAATGGGTGAGGGTGTGAGACCTTAACATACCACATAGTTTACACTTGGTGTCATTATCATTAACATCTATTCCAAATTCACAGTAATATTTGTACCCAAGCCTGAGCCGCATGTGCAGAGTCACTCCATGCATTTCTCCTTTTACCATAAGTAAAATGTTGTTGTTTTGACTCACATACATGTAGTGTTGCATGGATTAACTTCCCTCATACACTATACCTCTCCTCGCCACTTCCGCCTGTGTCTGAATATATCTTATTTTGATTCTTATTTGTCTCATTGTTAAAACACATTCCATGTTAACTTGTAGTTTTAAATCCTGGGAACCAACGCCAGGTAACCGCAATGTAACCACCAACACTGGTCAGTACAAGACGTGTCCACTATACCCACCACCAACACTGGTCAGTACAGGACGT